AGATTCAATGATTCTGCACTTCAATATGCTCCTAATGATCATGGCCCCTGCTATTATGGGGCATTGATTAGATAAAACTAGACAGGTTTTTCTAGGACATTAATTGCCTGTCCCCTGTGGAAAAGAAAGAAAGAAAAAAAAAAGGTGTTTTCCCCCTAGGTAAAATAATGTAAAGTTTATTTCCATTGGATCACAGCGAAGAATTAAAATGTAAAAATATATTTCCTGTCCACTACTATGATTTAAAAGAAAGCTGCCTCCTCATCCTTTGTACACATTGCAAGTTATATGTGTGACTGTTAATGAAAACTGAGTACAATACTTGAATTTCTCAGTGGAGAAATGCTGAGTAATCTGTGCTATGGCACTTCTAAGACATTTTTTGTTTGTTTGAAATATAATGTACAGGCCAAGGTTATCACCACATTGACTGCTGTCTCCAATTGCAGCAAATAAACTTCCTAATGCCTTGATTCAAAAAAAAAGTGCAGAGTCATCCTGATCTCCCTTCCTAGAAAGTTTACAAAAGCTGGCAGCAGCCAGCAGCTCTCCTTCCAGCAGAGCCTCATGGCCTCAGACTGGGGTACCAGCGGCTGTCATGAGGAGTGATAAATGCACATCAAACTCCTGTCCAAAAAAGCTGACTGATTGTGACAGAAGGAACAGCTAAATGCTGAATAGGCATGATTTGGTTAAGAACACACTGAAGACAGATTGTTTTCCATGCTTAAAAGGTCCTAAGCATTCTAAGCAGAGATAGGTATGATGGTACTAAAGAAAGAGACCTCAGGAATGTGAACAGAATCTGCCTCCCAGCACAGACAGGATGTACCCAGCACCTACATTAACATTTATTAATCTGCCCTTTAGACTCGCAATGAAGAAGACTTTATCACCTCCTAGATTGTGTGTTCCAGAGTTTAATGAAGCTTAAAGAAAACAAGAAAGCTTTGTTTTTTCTGATATCTAATTTAATGGTTTTGGGGGATTTTTTTCCAAATGAAACCAATGATTTCTCCTTCTCAAGTAGAAATGAGAAAGATTTGATTGTTGTCTGTGTTATACCTTTTTTTATGTTGAATGTTATTGAGTCTTCACTGGCATTCCAGTCTATGAGGGGAAAAAAATCCAACTCAATCAGTTTCTCTTTAATTTTCATGTACGAATAACAGGGTATTGTTTGCTGGTTTTATTCTCCAAAACATTCAGCCTATTTTGTACCATTTTTTTTAAATGTCATCCACAACTGAAGTCTAGAGCTAGGTGATTTTAAAGGTCCTTTCCAAAACAAATCTTTCTATGATACAATAAAAAAAAAAATCATGCCTCATTTCAAAACAGTGCTCCAGTCCTCCTTTTTGAAGATGGATTCTTTGCTTCTTCTTTCCATTCTTGCTTCTTCTTTCCATTCTTCTTGGACCATCCCATCTACATTTATCCCCTGAAATGATTTCTAATTGTTCAGAGATTGCTTTGGCTTAACTTTTAATTGATTCATTTCTCCAGGTTGATTGAATTTAACTCAACCAAGTTGTCTTTAATCTCTCATTTCACTCTTTTTGTTTCTGTCCCTATTCTCCTCCAGCTTATCTGCACATAATTAATATTTTGCTCTTAAATTTGAGGCAGAAAAATGCATTATTTATTTTCGTCTTCTCTGCAGCTTCCCCTTCTTGTTCTCCTACTCTCACAAATAATGGACTAAAAATTTCTTGTCTCCTTTCCTTTAAAGTAGTCATAGGCCATTGCCTGTCCAGCAAATCAAAAATTGCTGTACTTCATTCATGTCATGTTAGTACCAGAGAAACTTTGCAGTTTTGACCCAGAGCCAAAGACCCTCTGAACCTTCCTAGAACTGCTCAGTGAACTTAACTGCACTGTCAGTGTTATTGTGGCATTAGGAATGAGGCTGAAGGAACAGAATTTTATAGAGTGACTATGTTGTCTGAATCTTGAGAACTGTCAGAAGACATTCAGGAAAAATGGATTTGTACCCTTGTTGGGACAAGTGAGTAGACCTGCTTACCTGGGGAGAGCAACAGAGGCTGACTGGGAAACTTGGTATCAGACTAATGACATAGGCAAACCAGTCAGGCAAAGATTTCCTCTTGTGTCAGCAAGGGAATTACTGTTCTGTATTCCCCAATACCTGTGTTTGTGTGATAGAAGTAAAGATACTTGTAAAAGAGGAAGAAATGGAAATTTAACTTTAACTTCTGTTAATAAGAATCATAAGAAAATCAGTGCCAATTTTGATACTCAAAAAATCTACAAATATCAATACTTTTTTTCCTTAAGATAATATTTGTTCTACTTGCAAAAAAACCCTAGAGTTTAATTAGAGTGTTTTAATTTTAAACATTATCACAAGTTTGACTACACACATTAGTGCATACTCTTGCCTAGCTCTTCACAAATATGTTTGACAATAAAGCCCCTCTCTATTATTTATTTTGTAGTTACCCCAAGGTTAAATGCACTCAGGTACTCATCACTGAGAATGTGATATGTAAACGCTTATAAATTGATAACAATAAAAACATGGCAAAAACGCAACTGTGAACACAAACTTGCAGGAGGGCAGATAAGTGAGATTTTGGAATAAGGAGAGAAAAGTCCATATTATTGTTAATTGTTGATAGAGCTGGTAGAGCATTGCTTCACCCATTCCAGTGCTGGAGTGCATCCAGGGAAGGGAACGGAGCTGGGGAAGGCTCTGGAGCACAGGTCTGATGAGGAGCGGCTGAGGGAGCTGGGAAAGGGGCTCAGCCTGGAGAAAAGGAGGCTCAGGGGAACCTTCTGGCTCTGCACAGCTCCTGACACGAGGGGACAGCCAGGTGGGGGGTTTGTCTCTTCTCTCAGGTGATAACCAATAGAACCAGGGGAAATGGCCTGGAGTTGCTCCAGGGGAGGTTTAGGTTGAATATTGGGAAAATTTTCTTCACAGAAAGGGTTGTCAAGCATTGGAAGAGACTGCCCAGGGAAGTGGTGGAATCACTGTCCCTGAAGGCATTTAGAAGATGTGCAGATGTGGCACTGAGGGCCATGGTTTAGTGCTGGGCTTGGCAGTGCTGGGTTTATGGTTGGACTCGATGATCTTAAAGGTCACTTCCAGCCTCAATGGTTCTGTGGTTTCTGTACCATTAAATGAAGCCATGCCAGGACATGGGCCCTTGAAGTGGCAACCAGCCTGGTCCACAACCTGCAGGAGACTTAAACATTTGCTACAGTCATGTAAACATTGCATTCAAGTCACTTGATTCTGCAGATTTATTCAGCTGAAGGAGACAATCCTTTCTGCTTGATGGCCCAAAAATGACAGTGTGCGAGGCAGCTGTGCCTTGAGAATTTGAACAACTCACCCTAAACTTACCAGGGAATTCAAGGTCCCTCCTGAGCTGAGATGCTGGCTCATAAGAGAGCAGCATTTCCACACAGGCTATTTGCTAGCTGCAAGACTTCTGTACCAATGTATGTTTATCTTTCACTGGGGACACTGATCTGCAGTAGAGCAGGTAACATTCACAGAACCTGACAGTTTATGCTGTAATTCTCCCTGCCTAGAACGGCTGTCAGGAGTCTGCTTTGGGCAACATAAGCAGCTGTATGAATCCAAACAATTTAAATCTAAAGACAAACTCAACAGACCTTTCATTGCACACGCTTGGTTATTTGCAAGTCTCCTGTTGTCATATTTCTGGGTTTGATCTGAGAAAATTTGCTTTGTGTCTGATTTGGTTCATGCAATTCTTCTACTACAGTGAGTGAAGGCTCACAAACAGAGGCAGAAACATCTGCAATCTACTCCTACTTCTTTTTCTGCTCATAGTGTGTCTCCTTACACTGGCCAGAATTTTCTCAGGGCTAGTGAAGAGAAACTTTTCACTTTCTAATGCAAATTCAAATTTGTGGTTTTAATTATTTTTTTAAATTGTGTATATATTCTTTTCAACATACACATTTTACGAGTATGCATATATGATATATAACTTATTTGTTGAGCTTTTCCATAAGATCAGCTTCAGCTTTATCATTCTGTCACAAAATTTAATAGCTGTAGACTTCCTAGACTGTGATGAGTAAAATTAAAGTAAGTCTGTATTAAATTTTAGTTTATTAAAATATCATGCCCCAAAAACACTTATGAATGGAATACAAAGTCAGAACCTGTCATGAAATACTGACCAGATCTGACTTTTCTGAATGTCCTCTCACATGAGCTAAGAGAACTTCTTGTCACCAGGAGGAGCTCTGGATAGCAGAAAGAGACACAAATATAATCACAGAAAATAAACCCATATATTTTCTAGATAACGAATGTGGACCAATGACTTATCCAGTACACTACTCTCCATCATCACCACCAGCATGTCAATTTTCATAGTGTAGAAATTTGCATGCTATCATTAAGAGTTCCAATTTCACTCAGTAGGCAGAGAATCATGATACAAATTACTCTGGTTATTTGTATTTACAGCATAATTTTTCCTTCATTATTTACAAAGAAACAAGGTGTCCTATTCTTGGTCACAACCACTCATTTCTCAAATAATCCCTTTAATTTATACTCTTTGGAAGAAAATGTTACTTGTGTTTTAAGTTTTTCAAGTTGAATCACTTAAACCTTGAAAGATGTAATAAGATGAAAAAAGGTATTTTTAAAATGAACCCCAGACTCGAACCAAACTTCACATTCTCCTGTATTTGCAGTCCATTTGGGAAGTAATTCAATGTCCACTAAAATCAACTAGTATCTTCATTTTTTTTCTGAGCATGTAGAGTCTTAGAATGTCACGGCTGTTAATTTAAGCACCTGCAGGTGAACATGTTCTTTAGCTTTAGGCAGACATTTAAGAGTTTTCCATTTGTTTAACTGGTGACAAAAACATAACAAAATTTAGCTGACAACCTTTTTTTTACTGCTGGAGGATGAAACACCTGGGGGATGACTGGACCCCCTATATTTATGCACGGATACAAACTTTGTTTTCTCATTTCAGGTCATGGAACCAAAGGAGTGTTTGAACTTCTTTCAGGATGGCGTCGGACCAGGGAGAATCTGCCCTTCAAGGACCGAGTAGCAGACGCCTACTCAGATGTCATGGTCTCCTACACCATGACCAGCTCCTTGTACTTCATAGCCTTCGGCATGGGGGCAAGCCCCTTCACCAACATCGAAGCTGTAAAAGTCTTCTGCCAGAACATGTGTGTCTCCATCCTGTTGAACTACTTCTACATCTTCTCTTTCTTTGGCTCCTGCCTGGTCTTTGCTGGCCAGCTGGAGCAGAACCGGTACCACAGCATCTTCTGCTGTAAAATCCCCTCGGCAGAGTACCTGGACCGGAAACCTGTGTGGTTCCAGACCATGATGAACGACGGCCATCAGCACACTTCCCACCACGAGACCAACCCGTACCAGCACCACTTTATCCAGCATTTCCTCCGAGAGCACTACAATGAGTGGATTACCAACATCTACGTCAAGCCATTTGTGGTGATACTGTATCTCATCTATGCCTCTTTCTCCTTTATGGGGTGCTTACAGATTAATGACGGAGCCAACATCATCAACCTTCTTGCCAGTGAGTCCCCGAGCGTCTCCTATGCCCTCATACAGCAAAAGTACTTCAGCAACTACAGCCCCGTGATAGGCTTCTACATCTATGAACCCCTGGAGTACTGGAATGGTACTGTGCAAGAAGACCTAAAAACACTCAGCCAGGGGTTCAACACCGTGTCCTGGATTGAACAGTATTACCAATACCTTCGAGTGAGTAACATCAGTGCGACCAACAAAAGTGACTTTATCAGCATCCTCCAGAGCTCCTTTTTAAAAAAGCCAGAATTCCAGCACTTCAAAAATGACATCATTTTCTCCAAAGCTGGAGATGAGAACAATATAATTGCTTCTCGTCTGTACCTTGTGGCCAGAACTAGTGAAAACACACAGAGGGAAGCGGTGGAACTGCTGGAGAAGCTGAGGCCCCTTTCTCTTATCCAGAGCATCAAGTTCATTGTGTTCAATCCTACTTTTGTTTTCATGGACCACTATGGTTTATCAGTAACTATGCCTGTCCTGATTTCTGGTTTTGGCATTCTGCTGGTGTTAATACTGACCTTTTTCCTGGTTATCCACCCTCTGGGAAATTTCTGGTTAATCCTCAGTGTCACCTCAATAGAGCTGGGTGTCCTTGGCTTGATGACCTTATGGAATGTAGACATGGATTGCATTTCTATACTGTGCCTTATCTACACTTTGAATTTTGCCATAGATCACTGTGCACCCCTGCTTTATACATTTGTATTAGCTACTGAGCACACCCGAACTCAGTGTATAAAGAACTCCCTCCAAGAGCATGGGACAGCCATTTTGCAGAACGTTTCTTCCTTTCTTATCGGGTTGGTCCCCCTCCTCTTTGTGCCTTCAAACTTGACCTTCACACTGTTCAAATGCTTGCTGCTTGCTGGCAGTTGCACACTTCTGCACTGTTTTGTTATTTTGCCCGTCTTTCTAACCTTTTTTCCACCTTCCAAAAAGCACCACAAGAAAAAGAAACGGGCCAAAAGGAAGGAACGAGAAGAGATCGAATGCATAGAGATTCAGGAGAATCCTGATCATGTTACAGCAGTCTGAAAGGCTTAGAAAAATATAATAGTATATTCTCTTTTTAAAAAAGCATTGCACAGAGATGCAGGGAAAATAGAGCAAAGATCTCAGCTGCTTGTGCTGGCCAGGTCTGACAAGGCAAAGGAAGATCAAGAAGGGGTATTCATGACACCTCAAGGTGCAAACTTTTTTTAACAAAAATAATGAAAGTGAAATAATCTCAAATGTTTCCTTTGAATCCTCATTCTCCACCTGGGAAGAGTCTGTTGGTCATTAAGTGTTCCTGAGTCTCAAACTATAGCTCTAATGGGAATTGCTTAATATGTCATATGTAGGACTAAAGCTAAGGTGAAAAAAAAGGGTTGCCATTAAGTAAACACTAGGGGGAAAGGCAGATTTGTTTGAAAAAATTGTCCATGGAAGAGAATGAAACAATATTTCAAATAAGAAAAGGTTACAAGACCAAGAGAGATTGAAAATGCCATGGTAATTTTTTATTTTCTTGAGCAAGTTAGTTAAGATGAAACCTATGCACTTGGGAAGTAAATGTTTAAAACTATCTAAGCCAAAGTACTTCCCAAATCCAGTACACCTTGTATATCTGTAACACCACAATTAGAGCATTATTGCAAATATGGATGGCAGAAGGATAGAAGTACTGTTTATACAGGAGAAGAAACAATCATAGCCATTTGGAAATCTAACATGTGGTTCCTTTAAATGTGACATATCACTGTTATCCCAAGAGGTCACAGCTGGTAGTTAATACCATACACCTATTCTGGTAATTATGAATTTCCCCTTGAATTAACAGATCTCACAAAACTAACCCAGGCCATCATCACTGCAGCACTCTTTGCAGTTCCTGCAGTGCAACACTTCTGAATCCTATTTTATCGGTGTTGACATTAAATACTGAATATTAATCAAGCAGGAGCTACAAACGCAATGATGGATTGCATTTCACAGGCACAATGTGACCGTGTAGCAGCTGAGTCAGCTCTGGAGCACCTGCACAGTCTTAGCATCATATATTTGGTCCAAGGGATGAAGGGATATATTTGCTGGTCCCTGCAATATGCTGCAGGAAGTGGGATTTTCCCCTTCTTTAAGGAAAATATTATACAAAAAATATATGCCACACACTAAAAAAAAACACCTTGTAAATGTTTGCATGGGGTCAGATCAACCCCTAGTTGTAAGAAGACAGACTGGTCCCCTGTGGGAAGGGGAGGGGAGGGTAAAATGTCTTTTTTACTGTTATTATTATTCCTAAATATTTGAGTGTTGATCATCTGCAACATAAAGCTTTGTTATGGCAGTTAAAATTTCACAGGAGAGTGCAGTAAATCCTCAGTTACTATGTGGCACTAGAAATTGTACTGTAAAGGACTGTGAATGACTTTCTCTGCTTTGTAAACTATTCAGCTTAGTAGCCCAAGGGAAGGGATGAAAACAGATCTAGCCATTTCAGTTTGCTCTTGGCCCAGTTCTGCACTGGAGCTTGCCATGTCAATCTCTCCTTTCAGTATTTTAAAAGGGCTTGCTTTCTACTTTCTGGAATATGGTCTAGCATCTCCTCCATGAGCAATGTCTTCCTGAACCTATAGTATCCATGAGGACACTATGTAAAGCTATCACTATATGAAGTGTCTATGTCTACTTTGTATTACTTGTGGCTACCTTTAAAAGATAATCTGGAAGCTATTTGCCTTCCAAAATGTGTATACATGTCTATTTGTGGCTGATAACTCAGTCTCAAACCTGCAGAGTTTGCTGACAAGGAAATGTACATATGTCTTACTAAAAAGCTCTCTGCAAGATGTTAATTCTTTGCTCTGTGACATGTCTCACCTCTTCCTACTGTTTTATGGTTAGGAAGAGACAGAAAAAAATCACCTGCAGTACAAAAAAAAAAGCCATTTGAATGCCAGTTCTAATGTTCATGAGCTGCTTCTGCTTCCAAGGAATGCAATTTCACCTCTTCTCTATATTTTCTGTACTTTGCCATTATCATTTGCCAAAAAATGACCTCTGTGTTGTAGGAGTGGTCAAAACTCCTGATTGTTGGAGAAAACTTTTGAGTGCAACATGTCTTAGAGAGGGAGAAACTTGCTAGACAGGCAAAGCTTCCAAAGTTTGACTCTAGATCAAAAATTCAGGGGTAGCTAGATCAAGGTTACTGGTTTGACCCAAAATGTTCAAGGGCCAGACACAGAACTGAGATCTAAATAGTTCAGTAAGGTTTAGAAGAAGGGGATGTTTTAGTGTTGGGTTATGGGTCAGATGTGTTTCTAGTTGGGAAGTTTTTACTGACTTTGATTTGCATCTTGATGACATTGTGCAACATCCATCCTATTTTGAACAATCCATTGTGAATGTCAAGCTTCCCAATCTTTTCAGATTTCCTCCACTGCCCACACAAAACCTGGATTGTTGCAGCACTGTGACCCTTGGTTATCACTTCTGGAGGTGTCACCTGGGAAGTTCCTGGTCTTCTCTTGCACTGCCCAGATGTATCCCAGGGATGTCTGTCATGCATTGTGTTGAGGGAAATAGCACTTTCCAAAGCCATCAAAGCCAGGATTCATCTCATCTAACTTCAGATATTAGCAATGTAGATATTTATATCTCAACTTCCTTTATGGCCATAAGAGAGTGACAGACACTTCTGATCCATTTTACAGCTGTATATTAGGAGTAAATGAATCACACTTTTAAAAATTCAGATTTCTGTCCACTGGTGATCAAGGAAGCTCAACAACTGGTTCAAACACAGACATCAGCAATGCTATCTCATCCAGTCTTGGGAAGATTAACCCCACTTAAAATAACAAAATATCAAGAGAAAGAGAAAAGATTATAAACATGCCTCCCAAGCTTCAATTTTAGCCATAAATTCCAGGAATAACTCAGCCCAAATTTTATGTTTTGCTTATGAAGTATTATGCACAACAAATTGTTTCAAAAAGTGGAATTCCCATAGCAGAGTATAGTAAGCCAAGACACCAGAAAATGTCAATATTAAAGGTGGGCTCACACAAATGAACAAGAATTTGATGAAGTGTCAAACTAAGTCCTCTCAGTGTCATGCATGTGCAGTAGCACTTGTATAACAGGTACCAAGTATATAGATTACACACTGGGACTAGATGGTTTTTATTTCTCTGTCGATGCAGGAGTGAAGCAGAAAACAAACCACATATTTCATGGATGTAATTTTGTTATTTTTTTCAACCAAGTTCCACATCCACCAAAAAAGAACCAGTGCAGCCTTTACTTCTGCAAAGAGATCAGGTTCTGTGGAACAAGGAAAACTGGAATAATTTTGGGATGCAGAGTCCATATTTTTAAATTCGTTCTACTAGTTTTTGTTTACTTTTCTTGCATTTTTTTTCAGTACACTATATCTTTTTCTACAGCATCTTTTCAGCCCAACTGGAGCTGCATAGCACCTGTGAAGAAAGTGCATAGCTCATGCCAAGCAATTTGACACTCTGATAACATGCTGCATATTGGATCTTCATTACACACCTTTTTCCCCAGTTACCATAAATCCCCTGCAATACTGTGCATATTCCTTTAATGTCTGATTTTATATATGGTCTAGATAATCTTCCAAGAACCTTGTGTGCATCTCCTGCTTGGTTTGGTTTCATTCCCTCAAAATATATTGCTTTGAATTTATTGTTGAGATAACTCTGTTGAAGTCAACAGATTCATTGCCATGATATATTTGACTTTGCATGTCTCCTATCTGCTAAGAAGTGATGCCATGACAAATGAGCCTCTTACATTGTTGGTGTGCTTGTTGAACAAAATATCTGTCTATACTCTATAGCCATAATTGCATGCTGCACTTGGGGGGCTGCAGTGAAGATTTATTTTTTTACACTTTGTTCTGTGGGCTATTTTACTCTAAATCTAATAATTTTTTTTCCTCTTTTTAATTAGAGTTAAGTCTTCATCTTTGTAGTCCAGTACTTGATGTAGGTTTAAATTAGATTTTAGGAAGAAATTCATTACCGTGAGGGTGGGGAGGCCCTGGCACAGTTTGCCCAGAGAAGCTGTGGCTGCCCCACTCCTGGCTGTGTCCCAGGCCAAGCTGGACAGGGCTTGGAGCAGTGCAAAGTGTGCTGCCCATTGCAGGTGGTTGGAACTAGATGGTCTTTAAGGTCCCTTCCAACTTAAACCATTCTATGTTTCATAGATTTATTGCCTAACAAAGCAAAGCACTCTTTAAGGTCAAGGTAGATATGGATGCATGACACCTTGCATGCATAATTTAAAGAGATTATCTTCAGGGTTATTACCCTCAACTTTTTACTTCAAACAATTCCTATTTAGAATGTAACCTGCTACATGTTAATGTCTATTCAAGTTCCTTGAACAACTCTAGTTTTGAAATTTTCTCCGATGGGAAGGAAAAGAACCAGGGGGGAAGAAAGAATACGCAGTTAAGTGGTTGTGTAATCAGAGTTCTTTTTTTCCCCAAAGGCTTTCACTGCTCTACTCCTAATTAAGTCACACTGAGTAGCAACTCTAGCATAATTAAGATTTATTTCAACGTAGTTATTCCATATTTCACTATGACAAGAGCTTGGCTTATTGTCTTTATGCAAGTACCATGCTAAGTCTCTGATTAATTTTTCCGTAATTATAAACTTTAATAAGTTATTTTTCATTGCAACACTAGGTTTTTGAGTACTTCAAGCTCCCATTTGATCTCCTAGGAAACAGTGTAAGGAAGCAAAGTTAGGCAGTCAGTGAACAAGAGATGTGTTGTAGTGTTGGGGAAATTGGATTCTTCACAAAGAGGCAGGCTTCAAACAAACAGTGATACTCAGGATATCTGAGAAAATTAAGGTGAAGTGGAAACCAAGTGAAACGTTGCTTGGAATGTAACCAAATTATTATAAACAGATAAAGCTTTGATTCTTCTTTCATAACTTCTTACACAGGCAAAAGGCATTTGAGCAGGAAAGGAAACTGGACATGGAAAGCACCTCATCCATCACCTAAAATGATTCTTTTCACTGTTGTCTTGCATAAACAATCTCACACACCAGGTTAGTACTGGTTGTTCCACCTCAGCATGGGCCTCCCCATGGCCTGTTTTCCATGGAAACAAAGGAAGGGATTCCATGTTTGCTTTCACAAACCCTTGGGGAG